GAGGTCACCTACGTCTTAGTTGCCCTAATCGTCCGGGAAACGCTCGCACCTAAGTTCCCTTAGAGGACGGGCCTTGGGTGTTTCATTACTGTCCTCTATGCATAATAAAAAGACCATAGGCTTCTGATTCCTGTCTCTCTAGCTTGGGAAAAGGGGTTTATTACTACGATGGCATTATTAGATTCTGGAGCAGCAGAAAGCTTTATAGACCAAACTTTCGCTAATATGCATTGTATCCCATTCCAATTGAGAGATACACCCTTGGCCGTTGAGGCCATAGATGGTAGACCTTTATCTGAACCAGTAATATTCCATGAGACCGAACCCGTTAAGCTTACTGTTGGTATTTTCCACGAAGAGTTGATTTCCCTTCTGTTAATTTCCTCCCCGGCAGTCCCAGTGGTTCTAGGATATTCTTGGCTCAAGAGACACAACCCTCAGATTGACTGGGAGGGTGGAGAAATCGTTTCTTGGGGTATGGGTTGTAGGAAAGAATGTCTGCAGAGAGTTACTTCTGTTTGCCCCGTGAACTCTTATGCTAACACTTCTCAATCCACAGACGTTCAGATACCATTACAATATCTAGACCTCAAATCTGTATTTGACAAGGGTAAGGCGGATACTTTACCTCCCCACCGGTCTTATGACTGTTCTATTAAACTTTTCCCTGGTACTATGCCTCCCAGGGGTACGGTATACCCTCTATCCACCAAGGAAAACTTAGTTTTAGAGGAATATATCAAGGAGAATTTAGACAAGGGATTTATTAGAAAGTCTTCTTCTCCGGCGGGGGCGGGTTTCTTTTTTGTAGAAAAGAAAGACGGTACCTTACGTCCTTGTATAGACTATCGGGGATTGAACAAAATTACTATCAGAAATGCTTACCCTATTCCTTTGATTACTGAACTCTTTGACAGACTAAAGGGGTCGAGTATTTTTACTAAACTTGACTTAAGGGGAGCATATAACTTAGTGCGAATTAAACAAGGAGATGAATGGATGACAGCATTTAATACCCGTTACGGGCATTATGAGTATACCGTAATGCCGTTTGGGCTTTGTAACGCCCCGGCCGTCTTCCAAGACTTGATCAATGAAGTTCTTAGAGAATTCCAACATGAATGTGTAATTGTATATTTGGATGATATACTAATCCATTCTAGAGACATTAATTCACATCATAGACAAGTCAGAAAGGTATTACAGAAACTTTTACAACATGGATTGTATTGTAAATTGGAAAAATGTAGCTTTGACCAGTCTCAGGTAACTTTCTTAGGTTACGTAATTTCCAAAGACGGGTTTATGATGGACCCGACCAAACTAAAATCGATTTTAGATTGGCCTTTACCTAAGGGACTCAAAGCCATACAAAGATTTCTTGGATTTTCTAATTATTACAGACGTTTTATTAAAGGGTACTCCTCTGTTATCGCTCCTATCACTAATATGACCAAACAAGGAGCCGATACCAAAACCTGGTCTACTGAGGCTTTATCTGCTTTCGAAACGCTCAAACAGTCTTTTGCCTCAGCACCTGTATTAGTTCATCCTGATACCTCTCTACCCTTTTTACTTGAAGTTGATGCGTCTGAAACAGGGATAGGCGCAGTGTTATCCCAAAGACAAAGTTTAGATAAGCCGCTGCACCCTTGCGGTTTTTTTTCCAAGAAACTGTCACACACTGAAAGGAGATATGACATTGGTGATAGAGAACTTTTAGCTATCATTATGGCATTAAAGGAATGGAGACATTTGTTAGAGGGCACCGTCCTCCCAGTTACTATCTTGACTGACCACAAAAATTTATCGTATATGGGGGAGGCCAAAAGATTATCTGCCAGGCAGGCACGTTGGTCTATGTTCCTTACACACTTTAATTATGTGCTTACTTACAGGCCTGGTTCTAAGAACACTAAAGCAGACGCTTTGTCACGTCAGCACGAACCTACCACCTCTACAGAGGATACTTTGTTCCCTATTATTCCTGAAGTCAATATTATCGCCAACACCAATGTCAAAATACACTCTCCATTGCTCGCTGATATTCAGAACGAACAATCTCTTGCTCCCGAACGTACTCCTGTGGGCCGCTTGTTCGTGTCTCCCAAATTCCAAGTGGACATTATTCGCTGTTTCCACGATAGCAAGATCGCTGGTCACCCCGGCATCCACAAAACTTACTGCCTGATCTCAAAAGACTTCTGGTGGCCCGGTTTACGTAGGGATGTGGAAGACTTTGTCAAGGCTTGCAATGTTTGTGTCAGGAATAAACTTCCGCGGGATCTCCCTTGTGGTTTATTGCAGCCCTTAGTCGTTCCCAACAAACCTTGGGCTTGCTTGGCTATGGATTTTATTGTTGATCTACCAGCTTCCAATAGGCATACAGTTATACTCACGGTCCTTGACAGGTTTACTAAAATGGCTCATTTCGTTCCCTTGCCTAAACTTCCGTCCTCCCCCGAACTGGCCGTGATATTTGCTAGAGAAATTTTCCGTTTACATGGTATTCCCAATGAGATTGTGTCAGACAGGGGTTCCCAATTTATTTCCCGTTTTTGGAGATCCTTCTGTTCACAGTTGGGCATCAAACTGAATTTTTCTTCGGCCTATCATCCTCAATCTAACGGAGCAGCCGAACGCACTAACCAAAAAATTGAGCAATATCTACGTTGTTTTGTTTCTGAACACCAGGATGACTGGGTCGGTCTGATTCCTTGGGCGGAGTTTGCTCACAACAACCTTGTTTGTGGTTCCACTCATAATAGCCCCTTTTTCTTGAACTATGGCTTTAACCCTACTGTTCTTCCGTCGGTGTCTCCTTCCCAGGGTATACCGTCGGTTGATATTCATATAGCCAACCTGAGAAAGTTGTGGGATCAGACTCGACAAATTCTTGAACGTAGTTCCGCGGTGTTTAAGTCACATGCTGATAGGCGTAGACGTCCTGCTCCTATTTTTTCTCCGGGGGATAGGGTCTGGTTGTGTACCAGACACATTCGCCTGAAAGTTCCTTCCTTGAAGTTTGCTCCTCGTTACATTGGTCCTTACAGGGTACTGAGGAGGATCAACCCGGTTTCTTATTTGCTGGATCTACCTCCTACTCTACGCATCCCTAACTCTTTTCATGTGTCTTTATTGAAACCTCTTGTTTGTAACAGATTTTCCTCCCGCTCTACTCCTCCATCCTCGGTCCGTGTGGATGGTCAGGAGGAATATATCATCAAGTCCATCCTTGATTCTCGTATTTCTAGGGGGAAGCTGCAATACCTCATAGACTGGAAAGGTTATGGTCCAGAAGAGAGGTCTTGGGTTCCTGGTATAGACGTGCATGCTCCTCGTCTTCTTCGGGCCTTCCACGTTCGTTTTCCTTCTAAGCCAGGTCCCATCCGCCCGGTGGGCGTTTCTAGAAGGGGGGGTACTGTCAGGGTACCTGTTGGTGATGTATCCAGGGAGGACATCCTCTCTGCTTAGGGGCTCCCTGCCCCTAGCATTTCGGCATATTCCGGCCGTTTTCGCGCCGGCCGCGCTAGCTCCTCCCCCTTTTATGACGCGACGGCTAGCGTCGACGTCATGACGTCGGCATTTGCATAAAGTGCCGGGAACCGCTATTCCGGACCTTTTGGGGGCGTGGTCTCTATTTAGGTAACAGGGTATTTAAAGGAAACCTTTACTACTGCTCATTGCCCTGTCGTGGTTCTAGCTTGCTAGTCACTCAGCGCGTTCTTTATCTAGTGTTTCCGGTTTTGACCCTTGCTTGCCTTTTGTCCTGTTGTCCTCTCCTCTCCTTTGACTCGGATTGTATCTCGCTTACCTGTCCTCCGGCTCCCTTGACCTCGGCTTACCTTTTGACTATTCTTGCTTTGTCCTTACGTTAGTCCGGCCATTCTAAGGTCCGGTATACGTACCTCCTTCTGTGCGCACTCTGCGTATTGGATCCCTGTCAGTTTCCTGACAATTTGTAGTAGGTGAAGCTGATATCTCAACATTCTCCAATGGTGAGGCAATTCTATAGCAGTACAGATGGACTTGGAGATGCAGGCCGAGGTAGACAAGATGCAGAAGTTGAGTACACACTAGCTGCAATAGAAAATACCGGGCTCTTGGCTGACCTCTCCACACTTTCCTCTTCTAATCCCTCTGACTCATCATGCTCATAGAGAGGAAGCTCCTGGGCCAGAGACAAAAGTGATAGCCCCTTTACCTCTGTCCCAGGAGTTACTTAAATATGAGTATGTCTGCAGTGGCGGGGGAAATTAAATTCTCATAACTGGAATTATCATTTTTGCCATCACCATCAACACTAGACATTGGGTTGGTTGTACTCCGCTGTAAGTCCTTGCTAAATAGTGGCTCTTATGACCGCCACAAAGCATTGATGGAGGTATCTTTAGTCCTCATAGCCAAGGAAGAGGTGCTCCGACTCCCAGAGGCCACGACTTGACTGCTGATGTTGGATTGAGGAGCAGGACCCCTTCCTCTACCGTACGAAATTACATTGAAGATGGGGAATTTCTTTCTATCATGAGAATAAATTAAGAAACGCATCTGAATGATTATGTATTGTGTAAAGTAATAACTTGTTGCAAAATGAGTTTGTGATTAGGGGATTTACTGCTGTAACGTTATTGTGTGTGACATTAAGAAACACTGCAAATGGCTTGTACACTTGCACAGCACACACTGGAATTAACACAAATAAAATAGGATTCTTTCCACCAAATTGTTCACAAAAAAAGTAACTTTTAACAACTGTGTAATGGTATGCTAGTCTCACCAAATCAAAGTATAGGATTTGGAAAATTCATAAAGCACCAGTTTTAACAAAATTAGGGGCTGAATGCATCTGCCAGGATTGCTTTAATGCATGTGAATGATAATTGGAAGTACAATTTACCCACTGACAGCAGTAGAAACCAGAGCCATATTTACATATCAGGTGTATGTAGGTACAAAATGGTAAGGTGCCCCCTGCTCCCCACCTTAAAAAATACACCAGATCAGGCAGCCACTGGCCGCAAACACAACCAATCAAGCTGCCACTGGCCGAAAACACACCGGATCAGGCTGCTGCTGGCCACACACCAGATCAGGCTGCCACTGGCCACACACCGGATCAGGCTGCCACTGGCCACACACTGAATCAAGCTGCCGCTGGCCGCAATCACCGGATCAGGCTGCCGCTGGCCACAAACACCCCGGATCAGGCTGCTGCTGGCCACACACCAGATCAGACTGCCCCTGGCCACACACTGAATCAAGCTGCCGCTGGCCGCAAACACCGGATCAGGCTGCCGCTGGCCACAAACACACCTGCTCATGCTACCGCTGGCCGCACCCACTGGATCAGGCTGCCACTGGCCACACACACTGGATCAGGCTGCCACTGGCCACACACACTGGATCAGGCTGATCAGAAGAAGCTGTAGCAGTACACTGTTTCACACAAGATATGGTCTCTGTCTCTCTCACAGCCAGCCCTCACATACCCACCTTCACTACTGCTAGATGTTCTTCTTATCCCTGTGTCTTACCCAACTCAGAGCTTTTCTACTATTGTCTGAATTGGTCACATGACCACCCGGCCTCAGAGGTACCGTCCACCGCCAATCCTCTTATTCGGAGGCCAAGTTCAAAAGTCCCAGTGCAGCAGTAGGAAAAATGTGAGATGGTTAAAACAGTAATTACTAAATACAACATTCTCTGATATGCAAATGTGCATCCCTCTGATATATAACAATGAAATAAGCTGTCTTCGGCAATCTTTTATAGACTTCAATCTTCTACTGTCACAAACCTGAAAATCAGAAGAGAACATGTCATTTGGGGGTCTTTGCAAATAGACACCAAAAGACACCTTCATGCTCCCACCAAATATAATACCATAGGATGAAAAAGTAAGATTTCCATGATTTTAATAACAATGCTTTAGGCACAAAAGAAATAGGAGCAAGACAGATCTCTTTAGATATATATATATAAACTAGTCTAAGGTCAAAGGAACTTTCAGACTGAAATAAGAGTTGGGAAAAAATATTCCGCTGTTTTTTTTGGTAAAAACGTTGCAGCTTTGTTAGTTGCGCTGACGTAAGACGTTCCATTTGTGCCATCCTTATAAATGGAAATGAATCCTTCTGGTAATTTAAAAGTAAATTATACTCTTTTCTAAATTATATATATATTATCTCTGCACTAATCTATTTTAAGATGTTTTATTTAAATAACTAATAAAATAAAATAATTATTTAAGATTTCAAATACATAATGTCCACAATTATCCATAACAGAATTTCAATTCTTTTTTTTTTTTTTTTTATGTTACTGGAAGTTGTGTGAGCAAGAAACTAAGATAAACGTTTCTTAAAGTCTAAAATAAATCAACAGTGCCACCTAATGGTAAGATATTCTAATTGCGTCCCTTGCGCAAAAACAATGTTGCTTGTTTAAAGTTCATTTCAGTTGATGTGATTTTTCTACTCATGAGCAGCAATGGGAGATTAGAGATTACATAATTAAAACAACACACGTATAGAGTGCATCTCTTGCATGTAGGCTATTCCTCGTCAATTGTAATATTATTTGCCAGTAAGCTTCAGCATGTAAGCTCGGTATCAGAATTCATAGGCTAGAGGACTGAAATCAGTTAATTAATCACTGTGGGTGATATATTATCATCGTTGTCATCAATTAATTATTTTATTGCCACCAGTGTAAATAAACCACATAGATCTTTCAAAAAATAATTGCTGCATATTTTCAGCTTTCCAGAAATCTGATGTGAAATGTGTTTGAGATCAATTAGAGAACATGTAAAGGTTAGCATGGTTATTTGCTTAAGGGAGAACTGAAGGTGAATTCAAAGGTTATTTTGAAATTTTATGTAAAAAAAAGCCAATCTGTAAAGATTCTCTAAGTCAGCTATGATTTCCATTCAGCTACTATGCCCATTCATTTAAATTCACTTGGCATTCTAAGTTTAGTAAATAGCACTGTTAGTTTACATCAGGGGTGCCCAAAAGGTAGATTCCCAAGACGTTTTAAAACTACATTTTCCATGATGCTTTGTCATACTAAAGGCATTCTAAAGACATGCAAAACATCATGGGAGTTGTAGTTCTACATCTGGGGATCTACCTTCTGGGCACCTCTGATTCACATAATGCTTCTGTAGTCTTACTGACAAAGTCCATGCCATTTAGGAACGGCAGAGAGGCTACTGTCCAATTTCTGAACAGGGCCAGATTGGGAACTAAAAGCAGCCCTGGAAAAAATTCTATACCATTCTATAATGCTTTGCGCCAGCATGGTGTGCCGATATAGAGGTGGAAAAGATAACTTAAAATTGATAACTACTACTCTAATGTAAAAGAAAGCACTCATAGTGCTTCAAAATAAACAAAAGGGCAAATGTATTTTATTCAGATTCCATTTGCATATAATCCAATGTTTCAGTCCAACTAACTTGGCATACTAACCCCTTAAGGACACATGACATGTGTGACATGTCATGATTCCCTTTCATTCCAGAAATTCGGTCCTTAAGGGGTTAAAGGGAAACTATAGTGCCAGGAAAACAAAGTTGTTTTCTTGGCACTATAGCTTTCTATAGTGCCCTCCTCCCTGCCCGTGGTGCAAAAGGTATTAAAAACCCCTTCTGTCGCTTATCTGAGTCCAACGCTGATGTCTCTCGGGGCAGGCTCGGACTCCCCCTCTGCTCCTAATGACGAGGAGGGAGACCTAATGCATGTGGGCGGCAATGGCTGCGCTCGTATTAAGACTTCCCCCATAGGAAAGCATTATACAATGCTTTCCTATGGGGTTTCGGGTGACGCTGGATGTCCTCATGCATAGCGTGAGGACGTCCAGCGTTAGTTAGACGACCAAAAGTTGTCCAACATCCCAGAAGTGCCTCTAGTGGCTGTCTGGTAGACAGCCACTAGAGGTGGAGTTAACTCACACATTCTTTATTCAAAACTGCAATAATTACTTTGTGGGGTTAAGGGATCTGGGAATATACACCCAGACCAGAGCTGAAATGGTCTAGGTGCCTACAGTGTCCCTTTCAGGAAAGTTTGGTAATGGGACTGAAATGGTGAATGTTCTATGAGTGTGCCCTTCACTTTGAATATGTTTGTGTGCTGGAGTGTGCACAAGTCCATCTCTGCTCTGCTAATTCCCACGCATTCAGAAGGAAGCTGTCAGAGCGGTGCACAGCCCCAGGTGCCGCAGCTCCCTGGTAAATTCTGTATCCCAGTGGGCGTCTTGGAGTGCTGCATACTGTTAAAGGGACACTATAGTCACCAGAACAACTACAGCTTATTGTATTTGTTCTAGTGAGTAGAATCATTCCCTTCATGCTTTTTGCTGTAAACACTGTCTTTTCAGAGAAAATGCAGTGTTTACATTACAGCCTAGTGATAACTCCACTGGCCACTCCTCAGATGGCGTGTAGAGGTGCTTAATGGGACAGTGCTGCACACTGTGCAGTACTGCCGTTCAGTGTCTGAATACATACATGTTTGTGTTCCTGACCCTATAGTGTTTCTTTAATTCGTCAGTATGGGGCAGGATTTTATCCCTGCTTACACCAGAACGTTAGGACATTCCATTCAGACTTAACAGCATTAAAGCCCACTTTGTGGAGGACAGCATGTAACGTCCTAACATTGTTAAGAGGTTAAATCACTTTTGTTTCTATTTATGAAGCCCTAGCCACACCTTCCAAAGCTATGACTCAGACAGTCTGCATGAAAAAAAATGTTTTAATTTTCAGTCACACAGAGTGTTACTTTTAGAAGTTCTAATATCCTGCTCTGTTACGTAGACTTTAAATACCCACAGGAAGCTGCTGTTGTTTGCTCTAGCGGACAATGAATAAAGCAGGAGATATTTATGCTAAATTAAACATACGATGCAATAAAGGAAGTTTACAAATCATCTCATGCTTGCTTAGTCTCTTTCAGTGTTCACTCAATAGACCTAAAAGGGCATATCATGACATTCCTTGCCTCCAGCCCGCTCGCCCACCAGGAACATAATCAGACAGAACATCCCCCTTGTTCCTAGGTATAATGCATTGTCGGTGCATCCTATAGGCCAACTAGGTGTCCGCCTAGGGCGCTGCTCAAAGGGGGGACCGGCCCTGGATCTTTTTTGCTCTGCACTCTGCTCATTTGGCCGCCCAATGGGGGACGTTCTACAAATCGTGCCGCTGGCCATGTTACCGGGTACTAGGAGTACTTACATGTCTGCTGACTAGCGCCCGGCGACATCCACTTCAGCCTACCCAGCCAGGCCCCCCTTGATCTGTACGTGGGGACAAGTGGGCGGGAGCATAGCAGGACTGAGACGGAATGAAGGCAGCCAGACACAGGGACGCTGCCAGGAACACAAGGTAAGACTGTCAATGGGACATCACAATGTGTGTTTGTTAAGAATTTGTGTTTGTGCATGTCAGTCTGTATGGGTCAGTGTGTGTCTGTATGGGTCAGTGTGTGTCTATATGGGTCAGTGTTTGTCTGTATGGGTCAGTGTGTGTCTGTATGGATTAGTGTTTGTCTGTATTGGTCAGTGTGTGTCTGTATGGGTCAGTGTCTGTCTGTATGGATCAGTGTCTGTCTGTATGTGTGTGTGTGTGTTTCGTATAGGTCAGTGTTTGTCTGTAGTGTGGCTCAGTGTCTGTCTGCAGTAAGGGTCTGTGTGTGTGTGTGTGTGTATGTCTGTATGGGTCAGTGTGTCTGTATGAGTCAGTGTCTGTCTGCAGTAAAGGTCAGTGTGTGTGTGTGTGTATGTCTGTATGTGTGTGTCTGTATGGGTCAGCATGTCTGTATGAATCAGTGTCTGTCTGTATGTGTGTGTGTTTCTGTATAGGTCAGTGTTTGTCTGTAGTGTGGCTCAGTGTCTGTCTGCAGTAAGGGTCTGTGTGTGTGTGTGTGTGTGTATGTCTGTATGGGTCAGCGTGTCTGTATGAGTCAGTGTCTGTCTGCAGTAAAGCTCTGTGTGTGTGTGTGTATGTCTGTATGTGTGTGTCTGTATGGGTCAGCATGTCTGTATGAGTCAGTGTGTGTCTGTATGAGTCAGTGTGTATGTGTGTGTCTACATAGGTCTGTGTGTGCGTGCATCAGTCTGTATTCATCAGTGTGTGTGTGTGTCAATCTGCAATCATCAGTGTGTGTGCGTCAGTCTGCATGGATCAGTGTGTATGCGCCAGTCTGCGTGTGTCAGTACGTGTGTGTGTGTCAGTCGGCATGGGTCAGTATGTATGCATCAGTCTGCATGTGTCAATATGTGTGCGTCAGTCTGCGTGTGTCAGTATGTGTGT